AACAGCATCTACTATGGAAGATTGAAAGTGAGAGAAATAGAAGAATATCCTCACTTTGAAAGTAATTTGCAGAAGAGGATAATGAAAGGGCAAAAATGGTGCCTAAGTATTGCTGTCCCCTTGGGAAAAGTTGTTGATAAACCAGCAAAGTTTTACAACCTCTTAGCACTCCATGAAAGAAAAGCAAGTAAAAACACCCAGACCCACAATATGGCTCCAGAAATAACACTTTACATTTTAATCCTGGAAGGAAAACGATGGAGCATTCACAAACTGTTGAAACCTTTAGTTAAGCTCCTAAACTTCCTGGCACAGAAAAATCAAATTTTCTGAGATCTGTTAAGAGCTAAATAATCAGACTGTTTTGTTTTGGTCTTCATTTGGTTGTTATACCATAGAGAAGACAATACCCACTTCAGCACAAGGTATGGGACATCATGACTAACTAAAGGATGGATGGGGTCCATCTGCTGCAGAAAACACTGACTTCCAGGGGGAAAAAAGTGGCCACAAGGCTTGGATTGGCCTTTATGTGTGTCCATGTCAGAGAAAACCCAATCAAATGTAAATATTTAAATCAATGTAGGGTTACATGGGAAAATGGCTTACTTGTATGATTTACTATCATCTATTACTCTGCAATGAGGCATGTGGGGTTTTTTTGTACCCAGTTATTTCTTGCTAATCACACTGTTCTAGTGCATTAGCCATATAGAAATATACACTTTGTCTATATGGTTTATTCGTAAGATATTTCTGAGTCTAACTGCAGAAATTCTACTTTTTAATGACCTCACAGATTAAATCCAGGAAGAAAAGATCTATTACCTTCCTCATTTCTAGAAAATTATTAAAAATTCCCAAAGAATTATGCATATCTAGAATGAGGATGATTGAGCAAAGGAATCTATAATCACATTTGTTAAAACTGGCAAATAAAAGTCTGAATGCTCAATACCTTTTTTATTACCAACAGTGAGAGGAATTAAGTTTCTATCATGCACAGAAGTCAAAGTGATATCATAATATGCACTTTTTCAGATCAGTCTAATGAAAACAAGTTGAAGTTGAAGCTGCTTTAACACTGTCAGCTTTTAACAACAGCTTCTGGCAGCTTACCTTTATCCACTAATGAGAGGCCACAGAAATTTAAAATAAAACAATATTAGATGAACTGAAAATTTAGAAAGCAAAGCTAACAAAATATGATAAGGCATTATATATTTTTTTTTTTGGTAAATGTGCCAAACTTTGATGATGCATAAAATGTATCAACATTCTCTTGCGTAGCAGTAAAGGCACAAGTTGAAACAAAAATCATTCATGCGGATCATGCAGAGTTGAACTCTCCAAAGATGCAGCATTCTTAAAACCTTTTCTGCTCTATAGACTGTACACAGTGCAGCTCCCTTTCATCAGTTTAACATAGAGACATAGATATATTTACATCTCTACTAAGCCAGCATGCTTGTCAAAAAACACTTTCTTACCAAGCTCTTCAAGCTCTGAGGTCATGGACTTAGAGCGCAGGGTCAGTGCAGTGGTTGGAGCTCGCTTAGGAGGTGGTGGGGCTTTGCATGAAACAGAAGAACATACAGTGTAAGGAAACGTCTTTCAACCCCTCTATTCACACACACAATTTCCTATCCATTCAAAAGAATAAGCTACATTAAGTAAGGTAAGAATAAATACATCCATGCAGAGCTAAAAACCCTGAGATGCTTTTCGTGTACTGAATTTCTCTACTGTTTCTAGTTCTAGCGTAGGTTGTTTGACACATCCGCAAGCTTTTATGTAACAGGATACATAGAAACATTTAAAGCTTAGACTTGACTTTCTAGAGAGAGGGCCTCACAGCAGTTGTGCCCCTTCTAAGAAACATACATGGTTAAAACCCTTCCGGAGACCAGCCAATCTCAGCCAGACAAATTTCAACTTTGAAGAAACTGTTAAATCTGAGAAATACAGGAAAGAAGATTCAAATTTATCTTATGAGTTATGTTGAGCCTAGGGGAAACAGGTGATTCTCTGGACTTTCTAGAGAGAGGGCCTCACAGCAGTTGTGCCCCTTCTAAGAAACATACATGGTTAAAACCCTTCCGGAGACCAGCCAATCTCAGCCAGACAAATTTCAACTTTGAAGAAACTGTTAAATCTGAGAAATACAGGAAAGAAGATTCAAATTTATCTTATGAGTTATGTTGAGCCTAGGGGAAACAGGTGATTCTCTGAATAAATAAGATCTTAAAATATCAAGGCAATCATCTAGCACAGAAACTAAGATCCAGCATGTGCTTTAGTATCCTGATAACAGTTATTTCTGCTGGTCAGAAAGGAGTGTAACATCAAAAAAGAAAATGCCAATCTTGGCAGGGAAATTGGAGATTTCCAGTAAACAGCACTGGCCCTGGGACACCAGGCAAATTTAAGGACTCTAAAGTGTTTTGGTCAATATAAAATGGCTACAGCATTTTGACAAGAGGTGGCAAAGCAGTTTGAGGGTGAGAGAGAGTGATGGAGGAAACAAGTAGTCACTCTTCTTTGTCACCTCTATCCACTATGTCAGCATCATGCTTTCCCTGTTAAGCTTCATCATCTTCTTACAGAGACTTGTGTGACACTATGTCACAAGAAAGCAAAAATGCAGCTCTGGTTCAGTGTCAGATACAAAACTGCCTAAGTACTGCACATAGGAACTCCAGGCTCAGGTCTGCCCTTGTCCAACAAGAGAAGTGACAGTAAATCTGTGAGGGGAACTGCCCAAAATACCAGGTTGTTAAATGAGGTTGGGCATCTGACAAAGACTTCACCATAAGGGAGACTGGTGGCAACAAAACCCTTCCACACAATTCCCAGGGCACCATGGCAATTACCAGGGAACAAACAAGGTGACCAACTGTCATCAAAAAGGGACAAGATCCAAAGGGGAAAGTTTCTGGCAAATGACACATTGTCACTAGAAGTCTCTGGAAAGATGACAAAGAACTGGGTTTGTGTTTATCGAAGCAACTGCCATTTGTATTGGATACAACAGCAATTTTCTTTCAATGAATCACAGAATGGGTTGGGTTGAAAGGGACCTTGAAGACCATCTCATTCCAACCCCTCTGCTATGGGCAGGGACAGCTTCCAGGTTGCTCCAAGCTCAACCTGTCCTTCATCAAAAAGGGACAAGATCCAAAGGGGAAAGTTTCTGGCAAATGACACATTGTCACTAGAAGTCTCTGGAAAGATGACAAAGAACTGGGTTTGTGTTTATCGAAGCAACTGCCATTTGTATTGGATACAACAGCAATTTTCTTTCAATGAATCACAGAATGGGTTGGGTTGAAAGGGACCTTGAAGACCATCTCATTCCAACCCCTCTGCTATGGGCAGGGACAGCTTCCAGGTTGCTCCAAGCTCTGTACAACCTGTCCTTGAATGCCTCCAGGGATGGGGCAGTGACAGCTTCTCTGACAACCTGTGTCAGTGTCTCACCACCCTCACAAGAAAGAATTTCTCCCTACTATTTAAGTTAAATCTACTCTCTTTCAGTTTAAATCACAGCCTAGGAGGGATCTCTGGGGTATCAGCCCCTCATCTGCTCTTTGAAGAACTAGGATCTGTGAGTGATAACTCCAGCAACTGGTGGGAGGAAATGGGAATTTCCAAAAATGTGCTGCTGCATTGAGCACTAGTTAGCAGCAGCAATCTTTTCTGCTTAATGATAATTATGAGGGTCTAATGACTTCCCAGCGTAGCTATTACCTGAGAAAACTCAGGGGCATCTAAGGTGAAGGAAATAGTGTAAAATCCTTTTTTCATTTCTCTCTCTCTCTCTTTTTTTTTTTTTTTTTTTTTGGTCAAGATTTGGTGGTGGCTTTTTGAATGGGTGAGAAACACATTGAAATTCTTAAAGGAAGTGGCCTAATCTTATGGTATATGTTAACTCATAATCTCCATTTAAACTGATACTAAAAAAACAGGCTGGAAAAAATCCTCATCCTGTTTGTGCCCTGCCAATTCTGTCTCTGTGGCACACAATGCCATACAAACCTCTCCCGGAGTGCCTTCTTGCTAGCAGCCAAGTGGCAGAAAAAGCAGCTGTGCATGTTGTCTCCTTATGGGAGAAGGGATATTCCCTGACTGGAACAACTCCTCTACTTTGAATTCATCTAGAGGAATTTTCCCATTTAAATGTACTTTTTTTTTCTACCAGAACTTCATTCTAATCATACTGTTTATTTTTCTCATTCTGACAGAGAACCTTTCTAAAATGTGTGCTTTGCAAAATTCTGAGCTCTCAGTGATTTCAAGAGGAGTCAAACCAAGCTCAGCTCAAGTATATTTGGAATTAATAAAAATCATCTGTTCTTTTTGCTTTTCCTCTCTCACCACTACATGAAATTTTACTACAAGATCTTCACACATATACATGTATGAACCCCCATAAATTTCATGGCAAGCATGACAAAAGAATATTACCCTTTTTGTCACATATCAATGCATAAGTCAGCAGAATTAAATTACTCGAAATTAAACAACAATAAAGCATCTCAAAATTTAAAAGTGAAGTCGATAAACCAGCATTTATAAACCAGTAATTTCAGGTCCATACTTTGTGAAACGAGACCAAAAGAGTCCATTAGGAAAAGAGGAGAATGTACCTTTCTTTCTAGCTGTGTCATCTGGATCAAGATTCCTGGTTACTGTGACAACCTTAAGAACTAGGTGATTGCCCCCTTGTCGAATCATGTTCACCACCTGCCTGTGGCCAACTTTCACTACATTCTCATTATTAACCTGCAGAGAGAGAAAAGAGTCTTTTAGCACAAAGTGCAGAAAACTTTTGTTCGAGCAGTTTTAAAAACAGAAGGTGGAAAGAATCAGAATATAAAGAATTTCTAGTTACTTTTAATAAGAATTCTAAATAAAAAGTTAGTAAGTTCAACCAAATCCTCCCCTTTGCATATTTTATTTACAATTAGTGGTTTTCTTCTGCAAGTTTCTAGAAGGATCTAATGCCCTGGAAACAAAGGCAACAAGGCCACACCAAGTCAAAAGAAGAGCAAACCACATGAAGCCCTGACCAACTATTGTGGTCACACCAATTAAACTTTCAACTGCACTGCAACATTAACATATAGATTTCATTTATCTCTATATTTATGCATACTGCCTGCGTAATTCCCAGTGCTCCATCATCCTTTTTGCTGAATATCTTTCCATAATATTAATGAATAGGCATAGAAAAAAGCATAGGCACAAAACCTGCAAATATCATGGGTAAAAGTAATTTATGTATTCATTCAATCTATAAGGAGTCACTGAAACTTATCAGAAATTTGAATGATGGCAACATATGAGGCTGAAGTGCTGCATGTGCTATTTGAACATAAAAGATATTGAGGAATGGAAGCAGTGAAGAAGAGATGCTGCCAGAATCCATGCTGGGAATTTGATCTCTATCCAAAATTCAACTGACTCAGTAATATTGCACTGAGATCACTCAATGCCTTCCAAAATGAACAGTCATTTTCAAAGTAAGTGTTTTTAGCCTCCTCTATTTATTCTGACAGGCTGGGCATCCTGCACTGTAAAGAATTTACAGTTGAGAGCACAATCTCTCATTAAATATTACTGCCATTTAGCAGACCAAGCAGCTCCACTCCAACCTAAAATCATTTTCCATCCGTTGTAGCAAAGGAAATTCTTCACTTTTCTCAGGCTTTAACTGAGACAGAACGATTCACAATGAAATTATGTATTGGTAAACCATATTTTTAATACAATGCTGCAGTCAGAAGTCTAAAGTATGGTCTGTGTGCTCTGCCTATAAGCTTGAGGAGCTTTTAGAGAGGCTTTTTTAGTTAGAGCTACAGTGACGTAGGTGTAACACATGCTGAACATCCAGACCTGTTGAGCAGGCAAATATGAAGTTCTCTCATTCTGTAGGTGGAGGGTATAAAAGAATATTGATTTAAATAGGACTCCTGCTGGTTTGTTTTATTTTACACCTTCTTAGCATCTGGTATTTAATTCCAAGATATGATATTTATTTAGCTGGACCAATGGCATCTAAATTTAATCTGTCTAAAATACAGAGTTATCCATTTCCTTCTGAATTCCTTCCAGTATTAAAACCTC